ATAATAATAATAATAAATTTTAATCTTTATATATTTGTATAAATTACAAAAAAAAAAAAATTAAAAATTATTCTTAAGATAATTTATTATAAACCCGATTAAAAAAACAACCGAATTCATTAAAATATATATAAATATAAATTACAATTATATGTATTTTTTAAAATTAAATATATATATATATATATATATATATATATATATATATATATATATATATATATATAGTAATAACTTTTATTATAAAATTGTATCCTTTAGAATATATATATTATTAAACTAAAAAGATTTTTTTATAAACATGTAAAGAAAATAAAATAAAATGTTTTAATGAATTATTTTTCATATTTTAATGATAAAATATATATGTATGTGTGTATGTGTGTATGCACATCAACATCTCTGGTTGAGCCCCCAGAGATGTTGTTTAATATATTTTTACATATATATATTATAAATATATATGTATATGTATATGATATATTATATGCTTATATACATACATACAAATATAAATAAATGAAATTAAAAAAAATTATAATGATAATTTTTTTTTCTTTTCATTTATAAAAAAAAACTTTATTATTATTATTAAAATTTAAAATCTTATATTCAATGTTTTAAATGTTTAAAAAAAAAAAATTTTAATTTTTATTAAATAAATAATATAAACTATTTAATTTATATATAAATATATTTATCTTTGTAATTTAATTGTTTTTTTTTTTGTTTTCTTTTTCTAAATTTAATTTTATTCATTTGAATTTTACATGCGCCTTATTGTCATATAAATATATAAGTGAAAAAAAAGTTTATTTGTCTTTATATAAAAATGTTTTCATTTTTTTAATTTGTTTTTTTGAAAAATAAATAAATAATTGTTAGTTAATAATGAAAAAGTAGTAATAATTTTTTTTCTTACCTCATTTTAATTGATTGTATAAAATTTTGAAATCAATTTTTTGAAATGGTCGCAACCGTTATTTCCATCGCAGCCTCCTTAATTCTGTTTGTACGAATCGATATAAGCCTCGCTTAATTCGCAGCGTTCGAATTTTTATTTTACTGTTGGACGTTAAAAAACCAAAACCTTTAATAAAAGTATAAGTTATAATAATTAAAAATGGTTTGATAATAACGAAAATTTGATAAATCATTTTAATAAAAATTTGAAACGAAGTAAATTTATTTGCCGCAATCGTTTGTAATTTTTTTGTTACTCTATGGCTTTTCTTAGCGAAGTAATATCTTTCCTGTGCCCAAGGAAAACAATAAATTGTCATTAACTGAATTCGATTACCGATTGCAAGCAAAACTGAAAAAAAGAAAATAATAATAATAATAATAATAACAAAATAGTTTTATTTTTAATAAAAGTGTAAAGTTTTTTTTTCTTAACCAATGAGTACTTCATCGAGAAGTAACGTTTGTTTTTGCGGTATGTGATAAAATGTGCTTTTGCAAATAACGTTTTTCATATTAATAAAATGACTCTTTTTATTTATTTTAAATATAGTTTCGGATGATCACGAATATGTCACTCCTAAAAGAGCCGTGTTAACAATGAATGATATGCAAACGTGGGAAAAAACGGAAGCTTACTACGATTATTTAACATTCTTTGGTGCTCTTAATGAATCAGTCAGATCCTTACCTAATAGCAGTAAATTTCCTTATTCTGAAAATGCCAAGGCTTTGGTTGAATTTCTCGATACTTTAGATAAATTGATTGAAGAATATCCACCAATAGATCAACCCCAAAGGTTTGGTAATCAAGCTTTTAGATCTTGGCATAAGAGATTGACACAGGTAACCATCAAAACTATCAAAAAAAAAAATTAAAGTATTCAATATGTAAAATTTACCTTTATGTTTACATATTTATGTATACATACGATAAACTGATAATAATAATAATAATAAATTTTAGGATGTTATAGAATTGTTACAAAAAGCTTTCCCGAAAAAATTTTATAGAGCTATACCTGAAATAATGGTTTATATGACAGAATCATTTGGAAATCCTACAAGAATAGATTATGGTACTGGTCATGAGATGGCATTTATATGGTTTTTATGTTGTTGTTATAAAATTGGAGTTTTCGCAACGGAAGATAATGCAGCAGTCGTCCTTAAAGTATTCAATAGGTGATGAAATCATTTTTTTAAATTCATTTTAATGGAAAAATCTAAGTAATAATATTATCATTTTACACAAATTAATTATTTTATGAAATGAAAAAACTTTTAAATAAATTGCAAATCTTTAATAATTGTAATGTCAATTTTCAGTCATGCAAAAAAAAAAAAAAAAGTTCCGAATGTCATATGAGTCTTAAGTATTATCAAAAGATTTTACTGATCAATCTTTCTCCCTCTGATCTATTTTACTCATCATATTAAATTTTAATTGATTGTGATTCTTATACAAAAAAATATTAAAAGATTTTATTTAATTTTCATAACGATTGTATTACATTTCAGGTATATGAACCTTGTTAGACGATTACAGACAACTTACAGAATGGAACCTGCTGGAAGTCATGGTGTTTGGAGTTTAGACGATTATCAATTTATGCCTTTTATATGGGGAAGTTCACAATTAGTTGGTAAATTCATAACTTGACTATTGACTACTCGAGTAAATGAAAGGAAAATTTGTTTGTTTCGAAAACAATTCAATAATAATAATTTTAAATGAAATATTTCAGATAATCCGAGAATCGAACCGAAATCATTTTTATTACCCGAAGTTGTAAGCACTTATAAACACGAATACCTTTTCATAGCTTGTATAGATTTTATTAATCAAGTTAAAACGGGTCCCTTTCCGGAGCATTCTAATCAATTATGGAACATAAGCGGAGTCACGAGTTGGTCGAAAATAAATCAGGGTTTAATTAAAATGTACAAGGCTGAGATTTTGTGTAAATTTCCGGTGATTCAACACGTTTTATTCGGGTCGTTGATGACATTTAAAACGAGACCCTCTGGTAGCATAATAAGAAATGCCAGATTGAGCGTCACACCTCCGGATCCTTTGAAAACTCTTATGGATCCGCCAGGAGTTTTAAAACCTAGGCGAGATTCGGAAAATCATTCCTGAAAATCCCATATTCTATTTATTTAATTTTCTTTTTAATTTATATCACGATCAAATCAAAATAAATATTGTTATAAAACTTTTTTCTTTTTTTTTTTTTTTTTCAAATGTATTTTGTTCAAATATTATTAGACAAAAAATATTATTACGTTTTTGAATCATTGTTGTAAACAATAAAAAAAAACAATTTATTTTATATTTTATTATTGTTTTAAAAAAAAAAAAAACAAAAAAATAATATTATAAATGAATATATGTATAGTTATTTAATTATTTTATAAAAATTAACCCTCAACGCGAAAAATATTTATTTATTAAATTAATTTAATTTTTTACGTGTTGAAAAAAGTGTCGAAAAAAGAAAGAAAAAAGAAAAATCTACGTTGGCTGTGCGTGTGATCAATTTTTGTTTTTTCCCCTATTTTTTTTTTTTTTTTTTTTTCAATAATTTAAATTTTATTATAATAATTACGTTTTTTTATTTATGTATTTATTTTATTTAGTTATGTAAATTTAAAAATAAATAAATAAATGACCGTTGTTTGTTTTTGTATATATACCTGATTGTTTTCGGTTGTTTCAGTTTGTTTGTATTATTTTACACACGACAGACAGACAAATCGTCGTTTGCATTTTTGTTCAGACGCTTGTTCAGTAATTTTTACGACGTGATGACGTTACATAATCGTCATTACAAAAACAATATCAATTTTTTGAAAAATCTATCCGACGATTAATTAATTAATTTTTTAATTAATGAAAAAGTGATTTGTGTAAATTTCAGTGCGTGCGTGCGTGCGTGAGTGCGTGTATAATCAGGGAAACTTTTTAATGTGATGAAAAAAAATACCGAAAAAAAATTATAAATGATAATAATGAGAATCGTTATGATAAAAACGATGACACGATATGGTTAAAAAAAAAAAATTTTTTGTTTGTAATCAATTAATTTGTTATTGTTTTTATCACTTTCAACCTTTTTTATACTAAAATCATAAAAGATTGAACGTTATCAATATTTACCAAAGTTAACAACAAGAAAAATTAAATGATAAAAATATTTTCGATTTAACTCAAACGTAAACCATTTTTTTTTTTCTAAATAAATTTAAATAAATTTGAATTAATCGATTAATTAATTAACCCAATTGATTGACAATCGATTTCAAAACTGATCGTGTAATTTTATTATTATTATTATTATTAATGTATTTAAATAAATCGAAAGACGTAGAATATTTCTTTTTTTGAGGAGACAGGTAGAGAGGAGGAGGAGGAGGAGAATGGGGGTGAGGGAGAAGGGGAAATTAAAAGTTAAAACCATCGCGGTGAAAATATTTAAGGGCAGGGCAAAACATCCTTGAATAATAAATAATTTTTTTTTTTTTTTTTTTTTTTTTTTTTTTTAATAATAATAATAATAATAATAATAATAATAATAATAATAATAATAATAATGATGATGATGATGATGATGATGATGATAATGATTATAAGAAGTAATCATTCAAACTGTTACTTACGAGGTTGATCGAATTGTTACTTTAAATACTTTCCCTCCCTGTTGCTGCTATGGATCACCACCACCACCACCACCACCACCACTACCACCATGCACGGATGCCAACGGTCAACATTCGTGTGCCTGTAATAATAATAATAATAACGATAATTACAACGATTCAATTCTTTCATTCAAAATGATTTTTGATAAAGAAAATCAACTTTACTACCTTATTTCATTTTTTTTTTCTCCTTTTGTTTTTTTTTTTTTTTTTTACTACAATTTTCGTTCTTTGAAAACTTTCTCTTTGTACCAATTACATTATTATTATTATTATTATTATTTTGTTATTACGTCATTTTTATTTCTCGCGTTTCTCTACAAAATTCGATGCATTGTATGAAAAATTTGAATTTTTTTTTTTTCAACGAAACAAACAGTCACAGTCAATGCTTTATTCTTTTCATATCATCATCATCATCATCATTATTATTATTATTAGTATTATTATTATTCTTTTTTTTATAATTATATATTTCTTGTGCCTATTTTTTTACGCATATAAAAATAACAAAATAAAAGTTTCACTTTCTATTTATTATTATTATTGTTACCGTCATCATCATCATCATCACAATAACGATCGGTTTCCTTTAATAATATTTTTCCATTCGATCAATCAATCATTCATTCTTTCATTCATTCATTCACCCACTCACAGTATTTTATTTTATCTGATATTCAAGCCTTCCACCCTCTCATTCCCACAAAGTTTATTCGCGTTTCGAATCGAAATTTCTAACATGAAGACGTTTGTTGTTTGTTTGTTGTTGTTTGTTTGTTGTTGTTTGTTGTTGTTTGTTTGATTTCGAAAATGAGAATCGGTGCAGACAAGTAACCGCGATTGCTACCACCAACCAATGGTCTACTTTCTCTTTGCAACTTAGGTCCTTGACCAGTTCAATTCCCTCCAAAAAATAAAAAAAAATTTATTTCTCGTCGTCCGCGGCGTACAAACTTCGCACGCGCGTTTTCTTTTGTTTTGTTTTATTTATTGTTAATTTAATTTACAAATTTTTCTACTCCCACGTCTCCTACGACGACCAATCTTTCCTTTTTTTTCAAGGAAATCGTATTGTCCTAAACAAAAATAAAAAACTTTTTGATGATGACGTCATGATGTTAAATTTCACTTTTAATTAAAACTTCGCCATTTTGTTTTCATTTCTCTTCCCACGTCATTTATATATAAATTTTCCCAACCGGAAAAAATTTTTTTTAAATCGATTTTCGGCCCACCTGCCGCCACTAAAATTTTCATAACAAACAAAATTTTTTTTTTTGGGTAAAATGAAAAAAAAAAAATTTTTTTTTAAAATGGAGAGAAAATGTTTTTCGTACAAGCAATATAAATTTTTTTTTTTTAATGAATGAAAAACTCCAGGAAATAAATAAAAAAAAAGGAAAATTAAATAAACGTCCTTTTTATAGTAGAAGAATCATTAAAAGTTGTTCAAATAAAAAAAAAAAAAAATTTTCCTCTTCTGGAAAATTTGTATATTCGTCGCCCACACTCGCGTTGCCCTCATTTCATATTTCCCTTTCATATTCTCCACGAAAATTACATAAAATAAAATTTTTTATTTAAAAAAAAAAAAAAAATTGCGAGAGCAACGAAACAGAGAGAGAGAGAGAGAGAGAGTTAATAAGGAATACCTTGAAACCAACCTGACGATGTATAATAATAATAATTATTTACTTTGCGAATAAGTTACGAACAATGGCGAAAAAAAAATATTTTTTTTTTTTTTTTTTATCAACTACTAATAGATGTGCAACAACATTAAGATATTTTTTATTGTGAAACATTCCGAGAGTTGAATAAACTTTTTTCTTTTTCTTTTTTTTTGCAGTTACATAAATTTTCAGAATAGAATAGAATGGAACGAAGACAAATAATAATAATAATGATAATAATAATAATAAACATTAATATGCGTTTCGAACCGTGTCAAAAATTAAAATAAGGTCACACATTTTTGCCCGAAATACGAATAATATTTTTAAAAAAATTTGACTGTACATTATTTTAATCTTTAGCCACGTTCTACTACTGCCACGACGTTATGAAAATTTATAAAAAAAAAAAATTAATTAACACGTTCGATTATTATTACTATTATTATTATTCTTTCGATGTAAATTAAATTTACTTCTGTTCGCGACACTCGCGAATCCATTACCGCGGGATTTTTGGAAGATTTATTTATACTTCGATTTGTGATTCGTTTGAATGAATGAACGAATGAATGAATGAGTGAGTGAGTGAGTGAATGAATGAATGAATGAATGATTGAATGAACGAACAAAAGTCAAATTTTCTAATTACTATATCGATTTTTGTGTTTTTTCCCAGCCCCCTTCCTCCTCCCCTTCCCTTTCTCCCCTTCCTTCTCCCTTTCGCGCATTTTTCAAATTTTTTGGCACGACCTTTTCCCATTTTATTTTATTTTTTTTTTTCGTTACGCGTCGCCATTTGTTTCCGACATGTCGTTGTCAAAAAAATTTTTTTTTATTTTTTGACCTTTCGCAACACCTTCGCACATATCCAAAATAAAATTTTTTATTACGAATAAATAAATTTTTAACGTAATTATAATAAAATTTTTTTTCCTACGTCCTTGTTACCGTTTACGCGCGTTTTACATTCGCACAAAATTAATTCAAATTAATTTTTTTTTTACGCCTTGCTAATAATTTACGCGCGTAATAAATACCAAAATGCCGCGTTAAATTTTAAATTCATCCGTTATGAAAAAAACAACAACATCCTTTTTTACATTAGAGAAATTTGCGATTGAACATGGTGATAATAATAATAATAATAATCATTAAAAACAAACGGACAAGTTAAATTTTAACATTTAAATTTATTCCCTTTAGTTTTTTTTTTTTTTTTTTTTTTTTCGTTTACGTAAAAACACACCTTGAACGTATGTAATCGACGTTGTTGCCAATTTTTTTTTTTTTTTTCCATAAAGTTATTCTATGATAAAATTAATTTGCGATATTCGATATATTTACCTATATCACATTATCGATTAATATTCATTTTCAAAAATGTAACCACCCACAGGACGTCACGTGTGTGACGGAATTACAGGATTTGAAAAATTAATTATTAATTAAAATTGAATTAATTCCCAGACTTTTTTTTTCTAGAATTTTCGAATTTATCATTAAAATGTGTCGGACTCGCACGTTAAAAATTTATTTATTTAAAAAAAGTAAAAGAAAACAAAAATGAAAGTAAAAAAAAAAAACAAAAAGTAATAAATACAACAACAACCTGATTGATCGAAAGAATCAAAAGATGGTGGACCGGACCTGAGAGAAAGAGAGAGTTTGTCGAAATCGGACGCCATTTTTTTTCTTTTTTTTTTTTTACCGTGCATTATGCAATCAAAAAAAAAAATCTTTTAATAACACGATTCTCATT